TTATCTAAAACCTAATAACAACAGACATACATTCATATATAACGCATGATTATTGCATTAAATTGTATACATATGTATATATGTATGTATGTATGTATGTATGTACGGCCTTTTATATGAAAACACACAGCACTGCCTGCGATTGCTCAACAGCGTTTATATGGGCAATTAGATCTGCAAACCGCAAGTTTGTGCCTCCAAAGTAATCGACGTGGCTGCATTCTAATTAGTTCACTGTCATGAAAAACTATATACTCAACTAGATGTGCTATACAAAAAAAAAAAAAAAACAAAAAAGACTTACCGCAAGTGTGATTCTGTCGTTGTTGACCAAAGTGCAGGTATCTCTTACAATTGTCTTCCAGCTGTTAACCACGAAACGCGCACACACTCACACTACACCGTTTATGTATTTGCACTATTTGTTGTTGTTGGACTTGAGTTACTTAATATCACAATGCAACTAATTACTGACCGATCAGAGTTACAAACAATCAGCGAAAATTAAAATAAATATCACAAAAAGAAAAACAACACCAAAATATATTTGGTAAAAGTACAAAATAATTCGGGAGAGACTGTAAGACCGTGGCCAGCGAGCACAACCAAATGATTCTGACGAATGTGCTGTGAGGCGAACGCCGCACGCAACTAAAAGCAATGAGTGTTGGGGCTGGTGGCTGGTGGCTGGTGGCGCTGAGGTGCGGTGTTGGAGGCAAACTTCGCGGCCGCTCTTTGCTTGGCGCTGTGCTGTTCTGTACTTATTTCCCTTCTGTTGTCTTTTATACAATACAAATACACACATATATATGTACATTAAAATATTTAACTTTTTTTTTATACATACCAAAGTAGATTTGTAGTCATGTGTGTGTATGTATCTATGAGAATTTGTCGAAATTTCGCTCAGACGCTCGAGTTAGCTGCAGCACTAACTTTGTTTTGCTTTTGCCTTTATTCAAGCCGCGCAGCCCAATTCGCTGACAACGAAAAAATACTCATTTAATTGGCCGTGCGCGGGTGGACGATCTGCGCAAACAGTGGCTGCTTTTACAGGCAGCCGGGAGTTTACCGCTATAAAGAAACTGTTTGATAGCGGCTCTCTTGTAAATATTTAGCAAAGAAGTGTGAGTGGTATACACAGTTTTTGCCAGCTATGAAAGTGTTAGTGATTGTTGGTACAAATCATCAATAGCTAGCACAAGTCCATAACCGTTTAGTCTTTCATAGTCAAAGAGTGTCTTTCTTAGACTTAAAGTTTATATAAAAAGCTTGAAAGGCTTTATAGTAAAGACTTTAGTATGAAAGAAACCATAGTTCTCTTCCTTATTCATAACTCTCACTGAGAAGGCTGGTGTGCATTGATGCTATCAGCCGCGTTTCATTTTGGACCACTGTCTGTTTACAGCTGGATTTTTCTGAAGATATCCAACTCGCATATGCGAGATCGTTCAGTGGGAACTGCATGTAAACTGAAATCTGTTGAGAAAAAATTGTATGGAAAAGATTTGTTACACTCAGATTTAGTAAATTAAGCTTGTCACGAGGTTCGTAACACCTCGAAGGAAATGACGGAGACCCCATAAAGTATACCGCTTTAGCCATATCTGACTGTCAGTCCGTCTCTCTGACTGTATATACGCGAACTAGTCTTTGAGATAGTTCTTAACACATCGATCTCGAATTACACCCTCCTCTGTTGCTCCCCAAGACACTGCTTATTTTTCAGAAGCACCCGGAGCATTATGGCATTAACTGCCATTCAAAGTGACTAATCAAAATCAACATGTCGGCGGTGGTATAAGACTTTTTGAACTTGACAAATTAGGCTCAATCCGCTAAAGAAATTTTTGTTTGGTGGTAATGTAGAAAGGTGCAACGATAGGTTTATTGCGGAAACTTTTTTATGGCCGAACTTAGTAGGTTTGTTGTTGATTGTCATAATTTCTTGAAATAATCGAATCTCCTAACTTTGCTCGCAATAATTCGATTATTGCACTTGTTGTGTGGCACATAGCGCCGTCTTGTTGAAGCCAGATGTTGTCAGGATCAACTTCTTTCAATTTCGGCCATAAAAATTTGGTTATCATCGACCTATACCGCTTTAATGACAATATCGGTCATTATATGATTCCACTCGGCCAAAAACCACTGGGCCACCAAATTGTCATTTTAGGTGAATGTAATGGTTGTTCATAAATTATTCATAAATTTTCTTCGCACCAGTATTGACTGGTTTGTTTATTTACCGCACCACTTATATGAAAGTGGGCCTCATCGGAGAAGATGATTTTCTTAAAAAAAAAATCGTTATCGTTTTAAAGTTGTTCCAAGGCAATATTAGCCATTCACGGTGAGCCAATGGCTTCAGTTCTTGAGTGAGAATAATTTTATATTATCCGAACGCCGCAGGTTTTGGTTTGAGTCAGTCACAATTTTTAACAACATCTTGAAATCGACAAAATGCGGTCTATAGCAGTACTTGCCTGAACGCCAGCAATATTTTCATTACTTCGAGGAGTTCTCGTCTTATTGACCTTTGCACAATATGCAAAAAAAAAAAAAAAAATTTAAATGAATAGCGAGCACAGGTAGACGATTAATACGACCATAAAGTGACAAAAGCTTACGAAAAGTTTCAATTGGAGAATGTCTCTGCTTCAATGGGTATGTAAATAAGCAACATTTCCGCATTTGGAAGGAAGAGCAATCGGAAGATATTCAAGGGTTGCCACTTCATCCAGAAAAAACAACGGTTTAGTGTTGTTTTTGGGCCGGTGGAATCATCGGTACATATTTCTTCAAAACTGATGCCTATTTGATGCTTGAAATTGAAGCTTGTGATCTCGGCGATATTTGTTTTCAACAATACAGCGCCACTTCCCACACATCGCATCCAATTAATGGATCAAACGACAAAACAGAGATACTTTCACGTTTTGGGCCAGTCGATTGGCCACCGATATCGTGTGATATCACACTGTTAGAGTTTTTGCTTTTGTTCTTTCAAACGACAACAAACATTCCCCATTAAATAAGTAATTCTGCGTTTTTTCTTATAAAAAAGTCTTTTTTTTTAGCATATGGTACATTTTATTACATACGTACATATTATGACTCATCAACGAGTTCTCAGTTGTTATGGGCAGCTGATCAGTTATCACTGTCGACTATAAGAGAAAGTCTTGTTCTTTTAATGCAATCACTGCGAGACCAATTGTTCACTGATAATGTGTAGCTCATGCTGTTACCGTCTGGCATGATGAAGAATCAATGCGAATAATATAATAAAAATATTTTTGTACATAATAATAATAAWACTCACAAATGCATATACATAGGTATGTAGGTATTTTCTATATATTTATACATTTTTGTATCGAACAAGAAGTATTGTTTGATTATATTACACTTGCACACAGTCTGTGTGGTATAAGCTTGCATGCATATGTATGAACAGTAAAACACAATTGCTTCTACTTTTTGTAAAAATGCGGGCAATTTTGAACTCACAAGTGAACAAAGGAATTCACTTAATTCTGCAATTAAAGTTATATATGTATGTTTGCAAAAGTCAATATGCAAACTAAGCTTGTACACATTAGTAGTATATGTATATGTATGTATGTAGCTGCATTTACTTTTACACATAGTACATATAGTATGTATATCAAGCAAAAATTCTGAAACGAATTTTTTGAGCTGCCAACTCCTGGGCTGAGATTAATGCATCGTTAAAATATATAATTATGTATGTATATGATGATGATTCGGATCGTCATTTTAATATCAAAAAGTTTGCGCTCTCTTTGAATTTTCGCAAAGTACTACTTGGGGTAGAGTGCCAAGAATACATAACCAAAGTGTCTTGTAAGTTCATACATACATATGTACACACATACATACATATCAAAATTTTATACTTGCAATTGACTCTTATTTGTTAGCTTCTGTTAGCAACTTCACACTTCATTATGTCCCATAATTACTCAATAGGGTTTAAATCGGGCGAGCTTAAGCCCAACGACGACTGAACAGTGTTCAACGCAATTTCATACAAAAATCAATAATTTCTTGGGACCTACTAGAAATGTTTTTAAATTTACAATTATATAGCTGAATTTAATCTACAAATGTGGTGGTGCATTTTTATTGACCGCAAGTGTATGTAGTAACTTTTTGCATAATAATAAATACAATTGCATATATGTATGTATGTATGTACTTTTAAAAAGTGGAATAGATAACATTGTCGTGTCTTACAGTTAACTGCAATTTGAAAAGTGAAAATAGTGTGCCTCATGCCTAATGACAAAATAATATATTCAATCGGGAAATAGTTTCTTAAATGGAAAATATTGAACTTAAAAAGTGTAATAATTAGTTATATTAGCTGAATTACATCTGTGGAAAGAATAACCGTATTAATGATGCATTTATGAAATGTGGAAAAATTGGACGAGCAAAACATTATTCAAAGGAAAAAGTATTGTGCGCCAAAAATTTGGAAGAAAATAGTCATAATCAAAGGGAAATCGCAAAAATATTAAATAGGTGCCAAAAATTTGTTTTAGGCATTAATAAAATCTCCGAAATATATGAAATGGAACCCCGACACATACCGATGTTTGACAGATGTATGCATTTTACATAAATATATTGGGGTTTCTTAGTTCATTTTGGGTATTCTGCGTAATTTGTCCCTCAGAATATTCGAAATATCAAATATTTGCTTCTAGCGAGTTAAAAAAAAAAATATTATTTGCTTACAGAAACCAAACCAGACCACTCATGGTTAATTTGCAACAAATGAGTTTGTAAGCGAAATCACTCATACGCCGTGTCTACAAGGAATTAAGGACACATCAACTGAAACAAATGGCGTTTAAGTTGTCAAATATACAATAAGTAGTGAGAGCACATTTGGTGGCAAATAATATTATGTTAGTGTATATATTATAATAAATTATTATCAAAATACGAAATACGAAAGTATTAGGAATGCACTAACCTGTTAGAGATGTATGTATGTATGTATGTATGTTCGGATTGTAACCCGCAATGTTATACGACGACGTTATGCTACCAACGTTTTCTGCCGCTCCCACAACAACAACTTTGACTTATTATAACAAATATCTAACCGGAAATCTTTTTAGACAATTAGCAGCGTTGGAGCCAAACGCTTTTCAATGGTGTCAGATTTCATCGAATTACCAATCTAACCTCAATTTTTCAAGTATAATATGTTATATGTACTTAATAAGCATCTGAGCTATAATTTTGAAATTGAATAAATTCATTAATATCTATAAAGAGTCCGCGTGAGGACTGATTTGCTTGAATCCGGTCAAAGGTTATCAACGCGGCAGTAATCTCCTAAACTATTCGTTTATTGCAGCTGTAACAACAACAAAAACATAAATAGTATAAGAAACAATTTATGAAATTTGCCGAAAAGTTGGCGCGGCGGTTACTTACCTAGTTAGACCACTAGCAATGCGTTTGGCGCAAAGTCGTCAATTTTCACAAAACTAAATACGAGTCAGAAGCGCTTCTAGCAAGCGCTATTCCACTTTTTGTACGTAAAACACTTAAAAAATAGGTTGTACTGAAATTAAACTCATTTTTCAAATAAATTTCATTATTTCATGTTACAATAAAATTTTATATAATTGAAATGCACGCTATTGTGAATGTCATGTAACATAGAGAAGAGGAAGATAGTGCAGTTGTGTAAATAAATAAATTTAGCGTGTTTCTACAGATTTGTCTTTATTTTATTTGCTTTCCGTAATTTCTGTTAAAAACAATGCTTTCAAATTTGATAATCACCAATCAACGTTTTGTGGTAATAATTGGTAAGTTATCATAATTCACACCAATTGATTGCTTACACAGTTTTGTTTTTGTTTACAGATGAAACAGCTCAGGAGAAGATTGCGCACAATATACTCTGTCAACTGCTGCGGGAGCAGGGACAAGACGAAAAGTCAACCATAAAAACACTGCCATTTAGCACAGATTTAAAAAATTGGCCAACATTCATTAATTTCTATAAAAAATGCGCAAGTGATGAAAGTAAATGTAATGCCATTTTGCCACCACTTGCCGATCTGTTGTGCTATCAAAGTGTTGAGAAAATCATATATTTTGTGCATAGACTCCAACAATGCGAGCAAGTGCAACGTATTTTTCTATGGGTGACTCCGGCAAATCTAGTGCATCCACATGCCGATTATTTGGTAGGCGCATTCGAATACCAAGCTGATTTAGTGTTGCACTTGGAGACAAGCAATACTCTGTCCATTGTTACACGAAAAACCGGTGGAGGCGTGTCAAACAAAAAATATACATATACAAAGACAAAAAATGAATTCCTAGTTGAGGCAATACGAAACGTACCAAAGACTACGCCAGCAGCCAAAGCTACTTCAACAACAACTACGAATACACCAGGTACAACATTCAAAATCGAGTTGAATGAAGATGAAATGGTCGCGCGCAATACACTCAAGTTGCCTTATGAAAAGTATGTGTTGTTCGTTGTGATTATTATGTGCTTTTGTCTTTTTTTTTTAATGTAAGTGTTGTTTTGTGTCATTATAGAACATCTGAAACCAATGAAAGTTCAATTATCTACACTCCCGATGATGGCGATGATTTTGATGAGGAGGAGGAAGATCCAGATGATGATCTGTGCATATAAAGTGTTCCTAAAATCGCTATTATTATTTATTAATTATGTTTGAAATAGAAGGAATGAATTAGAGTGCTTCATAAAAGTTTAAGTATGCTGTTTTTATTTGAAACCTTTTTAGTGTTGTGAGTGTGTTTATTTGCGAAATCAAGTGTTATTAACAATGAATTAAAGTTGAATCGCAAAGTTTAAAGTTATGCTGTAAAAGGTTCTTGCTTTGAAATTATGAGTGCGGTAAATTGTTATAATTGAAACTTATAAGTTTCATATGCTTATATATTAAATTTTGTTTTAGAATTCATTTATTATAAAGTTTCGGTACGCTTCTAATAACTGCTGCTAACAGGTCATTAGAGTTAAACTAAAAGTTGGGGTGTGTTAAAGTTTAAAAAAAAAAATTGTGACTGGAACTGATGTATATTTTTACAGTTTAATTTCTACATATATAATTAACTATTTTCTTGCGTGTTCAATCACTCTATCTATGTACGTGTACATATGTGCTTATTACATACATATGTATGTGTGTGTACATATGTGCTTATTACATACATATGTATGTATGTTCATAAATATTTACATTGTCTATTGAAGTTTGCTATCCTTTCTAATACAAACTTCACATTACTTTTCCCCACTCAAAGGCAAATCACAACAACTCCTTGCATGGCAAAAATTTATTTAGGTTTATAAATAAAATATATTACATATTAATTTAGTTACTAGACTTTTCGAAAAATAATTTACATAATAATATTGAAAAGTTGCGTTATTTAACATAAAAAATATATTAGTAATAAATTCGTTAGCGAAAACAAAAAATATCGCTAGGCTGTTGAAGTCATAATTAGCACAAATTTATCAAATCTACGTATGTATCTCTTTGTATTTGTTTCTTTGCTTTTCTTTGTATTATTTTAGTGGTAGAAACATTAGTTAAGCTGAGTTTGAATATTAATAGCTAAACCATCCTGTGTAAGTTTATCATTTAAAAAAGACGGAAAACACATACATATCAATATGTATTGTTGTATAATGTCTGTATGTATAGTGCAGTTATTTAATCAAAGCTTTAAGTGCAAATATGAGTTTGATTAGCAAAAGAGTAATAAAATTAATAATTTGTTTCACTTTGTATCACAAGACGTAAACTTACTTTTAATATCTATCATAAACACTAAATAATGAAAATTGCTAATTATGCTCGAGAAAAGTGTGAGTTTATGACACTTTACCAGCATAATTAAATAAAAATTCCTGTATAATTAATGTATTTGCTATATGTAATGCTATGATGTGCTTCTTTATTGCGCTTCCGATTTAAAATTAGTAAAAAAAAAAAAAAAACAATTGGCTACAATTTTCCGCGAGATATGTGTAACAATACAAGAATATTAAATTTACTTTAAACTTATTTACGCATGCGCAATTTTAAATTGCAAAATCATGCAACAACATTTGACATTTGAATTATGGCTACAAGAACGATTACGTTGCCAGTAACGTAACCTTTGGTTTTGCTTACAGTAGTACAAAAAAGTATGCTATTTGGCATATGGCATAAATGTGGCGAACAATAATAAATAAATACATGCAAATATGTATGTATGTATGCGCGGTTATTAAATATAAAATATGTTCCGTTAGACCGAGTTCACATCAGTGGTCTTTTGTTGAACATTATCGGCAGAGTATGTTTTGGTTCGCCAACTTGAGTCGTACAATTTTTTGCATTTTGAAAAAAAAAAAAAAAAACGGTTTGGACGACAAAACTGTCAACGTGTGAACACAGTCTTAAATGCAATAATAATTTTAAGCAATGACAAACAATTTAAAATAATGTCATTTGTAAATACGTTCATCAACTTTTGAGCAAACTGTAAACATCACTTTTCGGATCGTGCGCCAGTGAGCTCCACGGTGTCTCACGGCATAAATGCAGCGACAGCTGTTCGGCAAATTTCATTTGCAACGCCTGCTCGTCCACAGCGCACGTCTCACGCATAAAGAAGAATTTGCTCACCAAATCATCGACCCAAGCTTGTAGATCTTCGCCATAACGCAGCGCTTTGGACACTTCTTTCTGACGTCGTTGCTCATCCATTGCTACTGGCAAATGTTGACGCCATTCAGCTGGCATTTCGAAGCTGTCAGGCAACGTTGGCGGCGCACCGCCGTTCACCAACTTTGCGCGCTCCGGTTTGAGTGATTTCCCCGCTGACAGTGTTAATGGTACGACGAGAAATTTAGTTTGCGCATATATTGCACTGCGACCGATCAGCTTGGCGGTCCAAATGCCGGGCATTATCGGTTGATTCAAAACAGCTTTAGAGTAGTTAATTGCGTCCGTTTGCGAGTCTTCTATATGCAATTCGTTATAGTCTTGTAGACGGCCAAGCGGGTCTATCCACAAAAGTGTGAGGTTATATGAATGTGCAGCATCGTTTTGCGCCGCCGCACCGGCGCCGGTTAATGTAAAGCTGAGCACAAGATCCGTGTAAGGACCAAGCATTTTAGCAAAATTACGTGCCACTTGCTCCTTCAGATCGAAATCGGAGGCAACTTCGAAATTACGTAAACGCTTGGCAAGTTTGGAATTTTTCGCATATTTCACATACACGGCGGGTCTTATGCGCGTTTCAAACGCTTGTGTGCGATTATGTGATGCTTCGTTTAGTTCGTAACGCATTAGGAAACCTTTGTATTCGTCTTTGTGTAGATAATGTGTTAACTCGAGTAGGCGCCCGGGCCGTGTGTGTGTGTGTTGTGCCGCCAAGCGTACTAAACTCTCACCTATGGTGCGCAACAAATCATCGCCGGTTGTTGGCGGATCCACTGCGTCGTATAGTGATTGCCAATAGCTATGCAAATTGACAATTTCCTTGCTGTGCGCGCCAAACAGCCACTCTTCCAATTGCAGGAGCACCGCCTGATTTATGATCGGCTCGAATTTGCGTGCGAAAAATAACATTTTATTTTCGGTGCTTTGCAGTCGTGACCAATCTTCTGGTTTGAAATCATTCGGACTGCAGCCACACCAATCGACCACATGCTTATACTGACACTTGCAACCGAGTTTACGTTTCCAATTCGTCACATGTAGGTTATTATCTATGTACCTATTGCAGAAGTGTGAATTACGCAGCACTGTGTGAAAGAATGATTCCGCCGGCAGTAGTGTGTGTCGAAAAATTGTCAATAGCCCTTGTAGTAGTGGATCTTGTGGGGACTCCTTAATAACGTAATGTACAAATGGACGCGATAACGCCACCCAGTCACTGCCGCCATCAATCTGTATGCCATTGGGCAACTCACGATCACCTATACGCCACATATGTGTGTCGCATTCGACGAATGTCTTGTCGAGCCCTTGTTTCTGTACGAAACGTTGCGTTTCACGTCCGTGACTTTTCACGAAATTGTAATCTTTGTTTGCTGTGAGGAAAGTAACGAGTTTGTCGAGCGTTTTAACAGGAAAATCACTTTCACTGAGATTTATGACGAAATCCCACTGCCACTCAGAAGCCAGTAGGTCCTCCATGCATTGCATTAGCATTGTAAGTAAGGATGCACCGCCCCAGATGGTGGAAAAACGTTTTCGGCCCAAACGTATGTTTGGAAATTTGGACTCCAGCTCCAATAACTTCCGATACAAATACTCTTGACGCTAAAATGACAAAGTAAATGGAATTTATTAATAAAAACCGTGAATTGCAAACAAACATACACATGCTATATATCTTTATTTTTTAAATAATTGTTATCTGAATCAAAACCAAGACAAAACATAAAATTTGTTGCATCCACACTATGTTGCCGTTCACAAATAAACAATTTTCCGTAAAAGAATTTCACTTTGCTTTGCACAGTGGTCCGATTTCGCCGTTTTCAAGAAATGCAATCCTTTAAATAGATATATCAAAAATCTGGTTCGCGTATATACAGAAAGATGGACATGATCGATTGATATCGATTCAGGTTCTTCGTCGTTTCCATCTGGTTGTTAAAACTTTCGTAGTAAACTTAATATGCATACACCGTTTAGGGTATAAACACCTAGTGTAAATTAACAGCAAACTTACCGCATCCACATGTATGTAGAACACATGATCTGGTGAGTAGAGCGTTTTAATTAATCGATGCACTTGTCGCAAAGCACGTCCATTAAGCGTCAACAGAAATGCAATTCGTACACGCTCAGTATCCGGGCTAAAAATTTTTGTGTCAGCAATATGTGGGTTGAATTCTGCAAAAAAAAAAAGGAAATACACTTAATTGCTGACAAAATAAACATACACACATACATAAGTAGTAAAGCAAATATATGGGATTATGCAATGTCCGCTGCAATTGAATTTTTGTTCGATTAATTAAAAGGATATGTACTTACTTGCGATGCCAGTTTCGTATACATTCATACTGAAATAACCACCACAAAGCCTTTTGGGGTCTCCAGAACACTTCATATTACAACTAGAGTCAGGCAATTTGGCTGACAAAGGCGGTGCATCTGCGCCACAAAAACATTCTGTAGCGTATTGTAGTCCCGCATAAGGAAATCCTGATTGCAGACAGAGACGTATACATTTTTGCGGAGAGTTTGTTGTTTTGAAATTAGTAAAGTAGCCTGATAGTAAGCGATATTCTTTTTCGTCCTGATAGCAGCCAAGCAGATAATTTGCGGTATGATTGCCAGCGGGACAGTAGCTGGGCAAGTTTTGAGCATAGAAATTACCTTCTTGAATTGCACATGCAATATGAGCAATCTGTTTGCGACAGTCTTTAGTTTTGGCTCGCTGCAATGCTGATATGGCCTCCTTGGATGTAATTTTACATTCGGGTCGTATACCAAAACGTTCGGTTTGTGTTAATCGTAAGTTAGCATCGTCACTTTTTCGATCAGTTTTCACAACTTTTGTATCGCCTATACTACTGGCAGAATGCTGGCTCCCAGCGCCTTGATTCAAAGATCGTTTCTTGGTTTGATAATTTATATATTCTGTCGCTGCAGCAGTGTTAGCCGAAAATAAATTTGTATTTGCAGCAATCACATTGGAGCTAGTTATGTTTAATGATTTGTAGGCGAGAAAAATTTGTACACCTAGTATTACGAGACCCACGAAAAAGAATAATTTATATCGTCGTAACCATCGAAAGGCTATATATTCAGTCATTTTGGTCAATATGTGTGCTCTTGCTTATAAAGTGGTAGTGAGTGTTGAGTTTGCAGAAACCGGTGAACACGTTGAAGCTCGGATGTACACTTTATTGAAATTGTCGTATAGAGTGGACTTAATGGGCTCTTAGTGGCGGGTGCAGACAATGCACAAGGCATGACAGTGGTGTGGACGTTTTTATAGTTTTAAAAGTGCATTGATGAATTTACGAAATTTCACTTTTTTAATATTACTTATTCTAAAATAATTAGAAAAACTTTGTTTAAATATTTTCACATTTTTTGTATAAAGTTCGTCATATTTTCAACCAAACAAAAGCAATGCACTATATCACAAGATAAAATAAATAAAAAAAAAGTTGCATTCACAGTAGCATTAGAAAATCCAGGGACTCTCAACCTTAGAAAACAAATTTGAGTTAAACATTATTCGTGTTAGTGTATATTTTAGGAGAAATATGTTAAAAATAAAATGAAACAGTTTTATTTTTCGAAAAATTCACGGTCTATTAATTTTTATCGTGTTTCAATTATTAATGTAACGATATTTGAGAATATCTATAGCCATAAAACATTTATGACGTATATTCCCTCATTGTGAATGTTCTGTTAACAGCTGAGTGCAATGTTTTGATGTTTCTTATTGTCACACATTCGTAATTAGTCTTCGTAAATCCGTATTTAAATTAGGTTAAATATTTTGTTAATATTTTTGCTAGACGGTGATATTTAAAACTATTTAAAAAATAAACAATTTGATTCAATATGGTAGATCCTAATCGTAAAATCAATCGACTGACAGATAAGGATATTCAGTTTTTGGATGAATGTCAAGAGGAATTTGCAAATCGTTTCACTGATGAAGACGTAGAATTTTCGAATCACTGTTCTAAACCACTGGCAGATCCGCCGATAGTTGAAAACTGGGGATTTGCTGGAACCGGTAATAATTACCGCGGCGGTGGACGGTATAACCGTGGTGGATGGAATAATCGCGGACGGGATCGTGGTGAACGGGGGCATCGTGGAGGTGGTGGGCCTTACCAAAGACATAACAATAGGCGCCACAATGAAAAGGTCTATGATAGAAATTTCCATGGTGGCAGTGAACGGGAACGTAGTGACCGAGATGAACGTCCACACCAGCCAATGAATATACGACGAGACTATGGGAACTTTGTTCCTGCGTCAAAAGATTAGTAATTAAAGAAATTGATGGTGCTACATGAGGTTTATTCAACACTATTTCTTTCAAATTGATGACATTTTTTCTTTCATTTGTCTTATTATGAACAAATAAATAATTGCATGTTTATATTATGCTTCCTCAAAAAGTTGTATTTTTCGACATATTCATTTGTAGGATATGGGTTTACATTTGACCTTGATTTTGGATACAATTTTTAAATGTGCGCAAAAGTTTTTGCAATAAGTACTCATATACATACATATCGGAAGGGTAGAAAGTGATGTAAATAACTCACTGATAATTTCAGTTTACACTCTAGACTCTTTCAATTCTTCGTCCGCTTCATCATCGTCACTATCCAACGCTGTCGTGGTTGACATGCCAACGCCCATTGCATTCAACAAATTAGAAACTGGTCCTGGTCCGCCCAATTGTGATTTATAGCCAGCTACTATATTTTTGAGCGTATTAACGTTAATATTGATAGGTTGAAAAGTTTCGATGTCATCGAAATCATCATCAGTACATTTGGTTGCGTTTTTATTTTCGAAACTCTCTCCAATTGTAGTATTGGCCAACTCTTTATCCATTTGGTCCATATACTTTTTGATACGCTTATCTATATTTTTATCCGTTTTCGACATTGCTTCGAAATTATGCTCCAAACTATCGTCATCTTCGTAGTCACTCATTTCGGAATTGGAGTCCCATTTGTCTTCGGGAATAACGAAGTCCAAAAAGTTTCGTACATGAGTGTTATCTTCGGATTCGTGATTTTTATTTTTTTGATTAATGTTGTCCTCTGATTTTTCTTTAATAATTGAATTTCGATTGCACGCTTTTCGCATAGAGTGATTTTTTCTAACTTTTGCTTTCGTTTCATCTATTGTTGTTCTATTTGAACTTGCAGCACATTCAATTTCATCCGGTTCTGATTCTGTGCCATCGCCATCGTCCTCGTCGTCATCATCACCTATGCCTTCGTATAACGATTCCTTTTCAAGAAAATCGGCAATATTTTTGGTGAATTCGTCTGCGTTTATGTCACCATTTGGATTATATAACTTTTTAGGGCCATATCGTTCCATGAGCATTGCATCCAATTGATCGGCGCTAATGTTTAACCAATCGTCTGAATCGCTTGGCTGAAATGGTTTATATATGTTGCAATAACAGAATTAATAACGGCATGTTTTTCTTACCTCCAAATTGTTTTCCTCATCACTAAAGAGATCTGCAGAAATCTCCATGCTTTGCAACAAATTAAGAATTTCTCGTCCCACCAAAGGAGCAGTGCGGAAACGTTCTTTATTCTTAGTAAAATATTCACGTGCATCACCCAAAAGCCGTTTATACTCTTCTGAACCCTCTAAATTTTCTCTAAAATATCCTTTTGACGACAAATTGTTTACATATGCACGCCAAGCCGGTTCATTTTCTTGTTGATCGGCACTCTTAGCCTGCGATGCCAGAATTTCAAAACCACAAGCAATTTTTATGCCTATAATTTGCTCTTTATATTGCTCCGAATTGGTATTACTATCGAGTTGCCAGCCAACTTTCCGATCGGGCTTGTAATCGGTGTGCATAAGCATTGCGTAGAGACAACGTGTAAAACGCACACTACAACGAACGCATTGCTCGGGTGGGAAAAAACGCATTGAACGACAAGCTTTTAAATCAATAGAATCACGTTCGCAGAAAGCACGCACCGCTGGTGCAATCAATGATGGCTGCGTCTTGAGCAGTGCAGCAACACCCAAAGGTAAACGCACGATTTGCCGATGTATGGCTGGATTGGTTATACCCGTAAAGTCCTTTAAACGTTCATCTATGCAATCTTGAATCTCTTTTGCCACACGATAGAGTGTAGGGCTTTGCCGTATATTTTCCAGAGCGCTGCGCACTGGTAACTTTTTCGAAGACTTTGTTGTTAATTTCTGCACCAGTTGCATGTGCCCATTTGCGATATAAACCTAAGAAAATTCATAAATTTTTTGTAACGGGAATACATAAAAATTAAGATTACTTACTCTTTGCTCACATTTATCGGGATTAGCCCATGAAGGCAGTGCATCAGCAGCTTCAATTAAAAGGAATTCCCCATCGGCATCAATGACGCGCGCAATACAACCGGGAATCTCACGTGTCAATTCATGCAAAAGGTGCACTATGAACCATTCGTCCTCAATATTATCACCGTAATGTGTAACACCATGCAAATGCGGGGGCAGAGCGTGCGCTATTTTATACAAAATACATTATAGTGCATACAATGGTATGTTTATGAATTAAAAATAAAAAAATATGAAGTCACCTGTCGGCGCATCGTTGGAGTCATCATTAATTTCATCGTTCAATAATCTTTCTTGCGCACACTCAGTGCGTATTTGCAAGTGAAATTCGTCTTTGTGCCAAATATAGCCATAATTATTCACACGTTTGTCAGCGATTTCTAAGCATTGTTTTTGAAATGCAAGCAATGTTGTGCTGAGGCTTTCTAATTCTGTGCACTCATTTTGTATATTTGTTAAATTATCTGGTAGTTCTGGAAATATGAAATACTCCACATAATCGTCATCGCGCACGAATTCCAATTTACACCCAGGTAATTTGGCCATTGTGTTTTGTTATTGAATGTACTTAAAACTTTAATGTAGAAAAAATACTTTTCTTTGCTAACTTAATGAAGTTGGTCACACAATATTGCCTAGATAAATCTTATTTTTCATAAACCACAAATTTCAAGTTTTTTATAACCAATAATCTTCACCAGACAGCACGGAATAGCATCCTTTGTTAACCATCGTGAACTTGAAAATCCCATCAAGTTGCCAGTCGTAAAATTGGAGCAAACAAAAATATGCAAATTTCTTAAAGGAAGTAGAAAAGTTAGTAAATTACAATCCTTTTGTTACTAATGTTGTTGCATGATATGAACATGGTATATATTGCAAAAGTAATTTATTCAAAAATTTTGAAAGTGCCAAATCATAATATTTTTCTAATAAACATTCTTTAGTTTTTTTATATCTCAAATTAGACTTTCGCTGACTTAGTTGATTATTGTGAACGCGCATAGTTTGACTTCAAACGAACAAACCTTTTTCCAAACTTTGCACCTATTTTCTTTGGTGTTATTCGTAAATATTTACGAATGTGGGAGCAGAGCAAAAACTAGGAAATCGTAAATAAATATTATATATGATGAGAATGCTATTAGGTATTCTCTTACTACTATTTCTTTTAAATATTTTATTGAATTTACGCTGGTTGGTCTTATAATAGTTGTTATAATAGTTGGCCTATGTATTATGAAAAACATATAACAAACCGGTTCCATTCTTTGTTTTGTTTTGCTACATAATTTGGTGAAAGGGAATAGAGACAAAGCAATAAACTGACAGCAAAGTGATGGTGAATTGTCAAAGTGAAAAGAAGAAAAATGGCTGCTTTGTGTGTTTGTCAATTTGAGTGAGTAGAAAAAATAACTAATTTTCAGCATAGTTCTTATTTAATTCACAAAACAATTATACTAACGTTTATATTTGCACAAATTGTACGCTCACTTTATTAGTGACTTATAGAAAATATGAACTAATTGTTTGAACGTATAGCTGAACACAGGGAACAAAATTACAATGGAAGGTACTGAGATGTCTCACGAAGAAGACCGACTTGTTTCTGGTGAGTAATCTATATTTGCAAACTTTTATTTTAGTCTTTATTTTATTTCGAGATTTCTGGAATTGAGTTTAATAAACTATTGTACGCATGTATGAAAGGAATACCAAATCGCTGGAACACTGCGTACGTTCACTAGCCTGTATTGAAGATTTGCGTGACCCGCCCCCTCTTTTTTTATCGCAACTGCATATTTATTGACCTAAATTTCATGCACGTCGAAAGTGCTACAGAATCGCACTTTCAACAAAACATCACTTCGTTATGGAGTGGGCTTTATTAATGGAAAGAATTATGTTTTCTTTTATAATTTGAATGCTAGTATTAGGTGATCATATATTTACATATATACGACTGACATACATATATACATATAGGTGTAATTTACCTGAATTATAAGTATCTGGTGTAAATTTCCATTTGTTACTTATTTTAGTTGCTTAACCAATTAAGGCACTAAATATATACACTTCTAACCCTGAGTTACTGTGCGTAAGGTTGCTATGCGAACAAATCTATTTCCGGCTAAGGACTCGCAATCCAACAGCATTCCTCCAAATTATTTCGTGGAGCTTTTTTGCCGCTACAATAACAATAACAACCTGCTAAATAATCCTGCTTCTATTTATCAGTTCAAATTTCATTTCAAAGTTTTCTTATTAGATTTTTTTTATTTATGGGAATGTATTGGCTAAAATAAATCTAAAAAATTAGAAATAATAAAATAAATGTTATTTATTCTTTGTGGCTTTTAAATTATATTTTAGGACTAAAAGTATGGGTTTTAATGTATTAGTTATTAATTTTCTGCAATTATAGCCATAAAAATTGGAAATCCCATCTCCAGCGAAGAAAATTTGTTACTTATACGCCTGGGAGTACCACTCTCCTTTGCCATTATTTTTTAAGGACTATTTGCTGTATACATACATATATACTCAGATATAAATATTTATAATAAAATCTGCTGGTTTAAGTAGAGGTATTTGTAATTCAGTAAATTCTATTGAATGAGGCCAAAGTCGCACATTCCACATAACAAAAGGAAGCAGGACTTAGAATCTAACCATTTAAAAATTAGCATCCCGTTTGCATTATGCAAAATTATAACCGGAATATATTTTTCCTCTACAGCAACAGCAGTGTCCAGAGAAATTAACACTAAAATATGCAAAACGTCGAGAGTCGTCTCAATTTAATTATAAGTGCATTACCTCCTATCATTCTTTTAATATGAGCTGCACAATTAGCTGTTGCATAGATCACAGGATCTTATGAAATGTTGTGCTTTATATTTGAGCCATTTGAGTATGAACTCTTATAGTTTTTACAAAAAAAAATAT